TATAAGCCATTCATTAAATAATAATCTCATTTGATGGTATGCGTAGCTGTAAGTAAGCCATTAATGAAATTATCTCCTATGGTATGTTTAATTCTAAGCCATACATGTTATGCATTATTAAACCTATAGCCACACATATTCTTTCAACTGCTGGACCTTAGCAAGATGAGCAAATCATCGCCCCCCCCCCTTTTTTTGCTACCATTATGGTGGACAAAATGTTATTTCTGCAAGTACAAAGCGAAGGGACCTATCACGAGCCAAGCGTGACGAAGTAAACAGGTTCTAGTGCAGGGTATCAACGCCCCACTGCCCCTTTCCCCCCTCCCCCTCCACGCCTTGGTCCCACCATGGCTGCCTGCACTCCAAGTCGTGTTTCTGTTAAGTACAGGGCACTTTTACCAACCTTGGCCGTGGACTTTAATGAAATGACAGCAGAACAATGCCCGGATCAATGGATCGATAGTACATAATCGTTGATTGGATTTGCGCATAGTTGAACCAATATATGTATATATATATTCATGAGAGAGTCGAAGACAAAACGGTTGGGGGGAGGGGGGGTAGGGGTAGGGTTCATAGGGGACAGGGTAGAGAGATACAAATAAAAAATATGAGTTCAGGAATGTGAACTACTGTGAAAAAGTGGGGAGGGGGGAGGTTGTGTGGATTAGAAAGACGAGGTCATTATTCCAAGAGGAGGAGAGGAAATTAACTCCCTTGGTGGGCACTTTATTACAGATGGTTACAGCCTGGGCTGTGAGTCTGTTTATGAATTGAATTATATTCATTAACATGATACAAATAACAAGACTGGTATCAGTTTAATGACACGATAGAACAGTCATATTTAAGATGGCATTTGTAAATGACACCATAAGACAGTCATATTTCAGATGGCTTGTGTAACTAATGTCACCATATGACCGTCATATTTCAGATGGCTTGTGTAACTAATGACACCATATGACCGTCATATTTCCGATGGCTTGTGTAACTAATGTAAAATCAAATAATTCGATGACGTTCTGGCGAACTGACCTCTGACCTTGATTTGGATAAAACTAAGGCGTTAAGGTATTGATGTGTTTAAACGTGTGTTGCTTTAACTTAGACTCATAAATGGCGGACACGAGCTAGAGCCCCAACCCACTGGCGGACACGAGCTAGAGCGCCAACCCACTGGCGGACACGAGCTAGAGCCCCAGCCCACTGGCGGACACGAGCTAGAGCCCCAACCCACTGGCGGACACGAGCTAGAGCCCCAGCCCACTGGCGGACACGAGCTAGAGCCCCAACCCACTGGCGGACACGAGCTAGAGCCCCAGCCCACTGGCGGACACGAGCTAGAGCGCCAACTCACTGGCGGACACGAGCTAGAGCCTCAACCCACTGGCGGACACGAGCTAGAGCCCCAATCCACTGGTGGACATGAGCTAGAGCCCCAATCCACTGGCGGACACGAGCTAGAGCCCCA